TTGTCGTTTCAGTTTGGTCTCGTTTTGTTTTTCAAGTGTATATTGATTCGTCTTGCTTTTTCTATAACGTTTCTGTTCATTTTTTAGACAGTTATCAGTAATTGGCAAGCGTTTATTTGCGATCACAAGAGTGAAATTTTAACGCCCACAATGCAAATAAACCAAAATAGATAAAACGTTCACTTCACCGACAGGCGCCGAGAAGAACAATGTGCAACATATATAGTCTCCTACAAATATGCATACTAATCGCTCTGACGAAGGGCTAACGCTCGAAACGTCAGCTTTTTTACCCTTTACGGTGGCTAATTTACGTTTTCAACCCAGTTGTTAACACTAAATTACCTGCTTTACTCTCCCACCGACGCAGCACCACAGTTTCTTTAGAAACTTACCCCTTTATTCATACTAAGGCACTGTTTGTTTTTATCTCTTGGCGACAAAAAGGGGCACCACAGAATTTCAAAAGTTTTGTTATTTAATTCCCCCTTTATTTTTTCGTTTTTTATATTTTCTTTTGATGTACTGTGTTTTAAGACAAAAATGCTTCCTTCGTTTCTATTTTTGTTTTCAAGAAGAGAATCGCGTGAGCGTGCGGATGTAATATGTTGGCTGCTTACTCGCTGAAAAGATAATAGGCAAACAGGAGTGGACTGGGGGGAGGTTAAACCTTCAACTTTCAAGATCTGATTGTTAATTCTCCCCTCTTTGTGCTACACATTGCCTTTTTAATTGGATACAAGAATTTGATGTTAGATCAAGATAACAGCCTCTTCCTGATAAGTTTGAATATTCTCATCACCTGTCTGCTGAATAATGTATGGATATCATAGGAAGAAGATTCATAGTGATCACCACTGGGAGTGAAAGGCTAACCAATCCCACTTCCTCTGAGAACAATTTTTAAAAGGAATAATAATAATAATGAAAACATAAGAAAAACAATATCTCTTGGCAATAGATTTAATCTAAACGCCCACCGAGTGACGCATGTCGATTTTTTTATGGTTTACGGAACATCTTGCAAAGATATAAAACACTCAGTTGAAGAAACAATGGATTAGTAGAAAGGCTCGAACATATGGAATAATGTAAAAGATAACTTTAGGGAAAAAATAACGCAAGTCAAATGACATCGATGAAGTAATGCAAATTAAAGAAAGAAACTTCACCGAAGTCTGTTTTTCATTTTTCGTTCTCCCCCTTCTCCCGGGGTCTTTCGAAGAAGGAAAGGCTCCTAAACAATGCACTCTGTCTCCGGATCTCTCACATGATTGGCTGACTCAAAAGAATGATAATGTCATGATTCTAATCTTTGATCAACAGGAAGAATATAATGCTAATTTGCCGATCAGCAACGGTATTCGAAAACATTAAAGCTACACGAAATTTACCCATCTATAGATTATCATTAATCATTTTATTAGTATGGTTATAAGTATTTTTATTATTTACATGTATCATCATCGTCATTATTGCAATTGTTTTTGTCATTCTCGCCATTTCTATCCCAACAGAACAGTGTTTACCCATCTGATAACTATCTATGTTTTTACGGAGAGTTTCTCCCCAGAATTATTCACCGTCAAAGATGTTTGCTCATTTGAAACGCCTTGAACGTTTCATGCCTAGCAGTCTTATAAAAAAAAATTTCATAATAAACCTAAGATGCCTCAATTACTCTCGATCTGAATTTTCGAACGTGTTGAATTGAGTATCATTACGGAACCAAGTGATAATAAATTTCTAATTATAGGAACCCGTTTATTCAGAAGTCAATTGAATTCTCCAGATGTTTGCAAGCTCCTAATTTTCTTGCCCTCTTACTGGCTCGATTCGAGGTGAGGTCGTCAACATTTAAAGAGAATGATTTTTGGATTCAGAAATGTATCTTTATGCAAAGTTAACGGCACTTTCTTCCTTTTTTCGGTTTTTGTCATCGCGAAAGGAATATTTATATTTAGCGACTTTCCACTTCGTTCGGCAAGAATCTATTGTTATGAGTAATTGTTGTTGTAAAGATAAGCTTCTAGAAATCTCCAGACTGCTTATTCATGCTGACATCAAGTGACGCAGTTATTACGTAATACTACTAAAATAATTCTTTTGTAAGCTTTTGGTATGTTCCAGAACACTTTGTGAATGTATATAAGGAATCATTTATGTAGCAAAATGTTATTCACCAGCCTAGGGTCGGTCCGTACTGGGAAAAACTGTGCCCTCTTTCTTGAGTACTCAAGGCGGAGGGCACAGTTTTTCCCAATACGGACCTCCCGACGGGCGAATAACATGATATATATGTAGATTTGTTTCGTTCAGGGCTCCCTATGCATGCATATGTATGTGTAATGTATTCACAACAATTTTTCGAGTGAATTCATAATGCATTCATATAGGCGCTTACGAAGAGTTGCAATTTCATAAACAAGCAGTTAGGGAGAAATAAGAGAGATGGTAAGTTTTGAGCTCGGTTAAGAAATGAAGATGATTTTAGTCTTGTGACGAGCGTGGGACAAAGAAAACTTCTGAGTCCCCATGAGGAATCGAACCTCACACCTTCGGATTCCGCTCTCCGATGCTCTACCACTGAGTCACAGAGACTCCATGGTGAGCGAAGTCTCTTACGAGGTAAGTTTTGATTTTGGTCTTGTGACGAGCGTGGGACAAGGAAAACTTCTGAGTCCCCATGAGGAATCGAACCTCAGACCTTCGGATTCTGCTCTCCGATGCTCTACGACTGAGCCACAGAGACTCCATGGTGAGTGAAGTCTCTTACGAAGTTCATATGATATACGTCCTGCATACTGTGAGGATTAGCAATGTCGATAGGGTAATGTTTGTGGATAGAACTTCGTAATAGACCTCGCTCATCGAGGTGTGCGCCAGGAAACACCGGCAGATGACAATGAAGTGCGCATACTCGAGTGTCGAGCTTCAGTGTAGCGTACCGCGGGCACACGACTGGGCATTGCACGAGGGCTTCACGTGGGCTGATAGATGTGAAGCCGCATAAGCAAATAATCGCGTTTTGAGCGCGAAATCAAACTGGTGAGGTTGAAGTTGAACAGTAATTCTCAGTATTTTGCATGTTCTGATCAACTCGCAAAGCAACAATACCGGCAGAGCTAAAGCTTTGTCAACGAGAAGAAATTGGTATGATTCAAGTTTGTGGAGAGAGGGTTTAGAGTGAAAATAGGACGAAAAGAAAGGGACTGAGCGACCAAAAAAAAAAACAAGAAGTAATTACGTAAAGTAAGTCGAGAAAAACGCGCAAGAAAGTTAGAGAGGACACCAAAATATGCAGAATACGGTGAAAGGAACGCGAAAGAGAACAAGAAAAGACATAAGTAAAAAGGCGAATATTTAGCGAAGAGTAACGCGAGAAGGAAGTACATCTAGGTGTCCAATACCTTCAACTTTCCCTCGAAATGACTGAACATCCGAGCCATTTCCTCTTTGGTGCTGGCTATTTCCTCTAAGCATCTTTTGAGTGTGTGAACCAAATCAATGAGTTGTCTCTTTGAACAATAGGGAACAGCAGACTGCTGTTGGATATCATCGTTTAGTACATTCCACAGTGGACTGTCGATGCTTGACGCGTCTTCAACCGCAATTGTGAGGGGTATTTACAACCCACCGTGTCAAAGTTTTGTCCTGTGTACTCCTTGACCAGCCGTTTAATGGCTCCCGTTGCCTTCGTAATTTGGGCACAAAGTCGTTTTGCAATGGCTTGTCCATCTAAAGAATTAACATAGCATGAGTCAAAATGATACTGTAGAAAGCCTACACTACAATCATTTCATTACGATATGTTGGTTAGCTATAATCGGGCGTCTTATCGACGGCTGTTAGCACTGGAACATATCAATGCAATACCTGCATATTTCTTTATTAGCTGTGAGAGAAACCACCTTTCTGAGCACTTGACATGCATGGAAAATAGCAAGTCTTCTCGACGCTTGTCTTGCAAATCGCGGAGGTATGCAGTATACATGCTGCTGTCAGGAGACCATCGGGGTTGGCCGCCCTCAAGGTTCTTTAGCTGTTGATCCAACCTATTACCAGCAGAAAGGAAAACAGCGGAGAAAGCAAAAATTTGGTTGGAATTATAGATTTGGTTTTGCATTGATTTGCAGTGCGATCGGCAAACAAAACTTGCCCTGAGAACCAAGTAAAATACCAATAACGACTTCCACGTTTAACGGCATGGAATTGTCCATAATTCTGATTGCTCGATTGCGTGATTGTCTGTTTACTTGTATGATTAACTACTTGTAGATTTTGTGGCTGGTAATGAGTATTTTTCTTTGTTTTGGCGGACCTCAATTGAAAACCGTTTTAATATCCTACGTAAAGATCATTTGGTTCCCAGACCAGGGGAGTAAATATAGCAGAATCCAAAAGATGGTTTTATACTTGTCAAGCCGATCGGTCAATATTTTCAGATGCCGGGGAACATTTTTTGCAAGTTTGTTCTGTTAATGAACAGTTTGAACAATTCAGAAGAAAAGTATCAGAGAAAGTCAGGACAAATGACAGAAAATGATGGACCAAAAAGTAACACATTTCCTGTAAAATTCAGAAACGACAATTGGGGTAAACATTGTATGAAAACCAGATCTCCATGCTACTCCATACCTTACACAGAAAACTTGTCCGGGTAATCATCTGGTGATGAGTCTTCAAAGGAGAAAATGTAAAATCATAAAGGAACTTTTAACTGTTTAAGTAACTTGCGTGTACCTTTCTGAACTTCAGTTTTGGTACTCTAATTTCCTCTTAAGCACTTCAAAAAATTTATCAAACTAGAATAAAAAATTAAGGAGGGAAAAATAAAACGGGTGTCATTCATTTGTCATGATTATTTTTGGTCGTTAAAAGTGAACCATTCCAAAGAAGATCACAGCCGACCGAGTTGCAAGATAAAAAAGACTGGTTAGAGGTCAATAACAACTAGGCTTTCCTCGCGAAATTTGATAATAGCCTGGGACTTAGTGCGTCTTGTGTTGGAACTCGCCATGTGACTAATCGTCGTAAATATAGTTTACACACGGGAATTACATCTGACATTGATACAGTCAAAAAAATCACTTGCAGTAATATCAGAGTAATTATGCCGAGAAAAGCGAGATCACTTTCGAAGAGGAAGATCATGTAATCCTGTATCATTATATCTTTCGGATCAAAAATGGCGGGCTTTTCGATCTTCGAAACTCTACACGTTGTGGATTCGTTGTGGTAAACTGTCTATTTGTTTTGGCCACGGCTGCATTGGATAGCACCTCTGAACTCAGTAATCCTTTGGATACTTGGCGAAAGGAAGATCAGGATTATGTATCACCCGATAAAACACTGCAAAGGTTGGTGAAGTGTAATAGTAGTAGTATTTCCCCTCTCAGAACGAATGAAACATAGCATGGAAAGGCACTGTTCAGAAATGATGAATTTATGGACAAACTAATGAACTCCTACATCATGAGCACTGTGGAACAGTTTGATCTGAACTGCACTGCAGCCAGAGTGTTGATACCCATACCCATACCTGGGCTGGAAAGTGCTGCAGTTTTTCAGGATATGGTAAGTTTAGCAAGGTATTCTAAATCATTCAACTCCCAAGATCTGATTTAAATTCTCTCCTCTAGCTGCTAGACATTTCCTTGTAAATTCGTTATGAGAATTTGGTGTTTCACACTTTTCACACTTTTATTTTTTTATTTTCTCACATATTTACAAGATATTAGATCAAGATGACAACTTCTTCCTGATAAGTCTGACTATTCTCGTTACCTTTTTGCTGGATAATGTATGAATATTATAGGGAGAAGTTACATGTTAATCACTTCTGGGAGTTAAAGTCCAGATTGTGTCCAGTTTCTGTGGCATGGTACTCCCTTTTTTAGAAAAGAATAAAGACTTAATATTAACTCGCACAATTTCTACTTCATCAAATTATGGATAAAAAAAAAATGAATTTCTTTTAGTTATGAATTTATGAAAAATTTATGAAAAAGAAAAAGAAAAAAAAAGAGACTTTATTTGTTGCTCTCAGTCACCTCACTTCAGTGGAAAACACTTTTAAAAAAATGCAAACTTTTCAGACTCACTTTCATTTTTCCTTAATTAATAAATACATATTTCTTTAATAGGGTAAGAGAGATGGTAAATTTTGAGCTTGGTAAAGAAATAGAGAAAGATGTTTTTTGTCTTGTCACAACAAAGAAAAAATTCTGATCTGAGTCCCCACGTTGAATCAAACCTTAGATCTTGGGATTCTGGGGTCTGATGCTCTATCAGTGAGCCACAGAGACTCTACGGTGAGTGAGGTTTATTACAAAGTGCATACTGCTAGGATCAGCAATGTTGTTAGCATCATGTTTGTAAACAGAATATGACTCAGAATTTTTTTCTTTTTCCTACACACGTGACAAGATGAAAACATCTTTCTTTATTTCTTTACTGAGTTCAAAACTTACCATCTCTCATTCTATTTATAAACATGATGCTATGCAGGACACTATGCAGGATGCATGTCATATGAACTTTGTAATAGACCTCACTCACTGTGGAGTCTCTCTGGCTCAGTGGTAGAGCATTGGAGTGCGGAATCTGAAGGTCTGAGGTTCAATTCCTCGTGGGGACTTAGAATTCTTTCCTTGTCCCACACTTGTGATGAGACAATAAACATCTTTCTCTACATATTTCCTATCAACATGTTTGATGTCAATCATGTACATGTAGGAAGCAATGCTTAATCAATTATGCAAGTGGACCAGAGAAGCCTTCAGGAACCCCTAAGATCATATGCTACAGGTATTTATATCATAGTTTACTGGTCTTACTGTACACAGTACTTCAGGCTTTGAACATTTTGGTCACCATACCTGAAAAAGAGAAAAAAGAAAATTTAGTTGACAAAATATCTAGCATCAAGTGGCCTCCTGGGGAAAATTAGATTTATCTAATTCTTGTACTGCTTCAGCTTCTGAATTAACTCAATTTTGTGTACATGTTTATTAACTGGGTGTAAGTAGAAGGTTGTTTAAGTTAGGTGATCCAAGGTAGTGCACAAGGTTAAGATATAGATAGTCATGGTTTCATTGAGGATTCTAATATTCCTTTTTGTTCATTTTTAATGTGTATTGCTGCAGTTGCAGCAATTTGTTTTTAATTTCAAGTATCAAATAATAGAAACTTTGATAATTATTTTATTAACAGGTCTTTTAGCATTTGCCATGGAGAGCCAGGATATTGCAGCAGAATTCAGAGAAGAAAACTCTACCTTGGTAAGTCAGTATAGCAACTTTAAAGAGTGACCAGCATCTAATTTCTCCTCACAATATCTCCCCTGAATCAAACATAAAGGCTATGAGAACAAAGGAAATGATCACCAAATAAAGAAGCTTTTGACATCTTGTTAAATAAATTCTCCAAGTCAACAACTAAAGAAATGTATATAGAACAGTATGGAGAATATGCATACTGATGTTAGGGTGAAAAGGGGTTTTTAAAATATTACACCTTAGCTTTGTGTTTAACAGCATTTGTTTTGCAAAAGTCAGAGTGTATAGCTGGGTTTACACTTCTCGGGAATTGTCTAATGTCACTTATGGCATTTTTGTTTGGAACACCTTTTTTAAACCATACACTGAGGATTAAATGTTAAATTTCACATGTTAAGGTTCCCTGTATGCTGTGACAGCTGCACATTTTGAAGGACTTGTCAGAGCTTACACAGTCCCTTGTGACAGACCTGTTAAACAGGATTATCCTGAAGGCAAAGACAAACAGGAACAAGAAAAAAACAGTAACATTGTGAGTAACAAAGTAAAGAAAGTGAATCTTGCTGAGCCAGGACCATCATGCACAGTGCCACAGAATGGTGAAGTACTTGGTTTGTGTAATGGAGAAGTGGAAGAAGCAAATAGACAGTGGAAAGGGTTAGTTCACTTTTTGAGTATTGTAACTCAGACTGCCCCTCTGCCAGTGAGTTGAATCTTCTAACAACTTTAAGTTGATTTAAGTGTCTTTTCAAACTGAGTGGTACAACTGGTTTGCAACTTGAAGGCTCAATTATTATCCTTTGGGTTTTCACTTTGACAGCCAAGGCAGTGCTTTCAGTAAGACCCAGCACCAGTAGGAGCTCCAGTGGGTATTCTGTAGTGAATTGGTAGTTATACTCTGGGAGCTTTCATGCAAACTCACAATGTGAGACCTAAAACACCTTGAGATCTTCTAGAGTTCTTTCAGTCAACTTTTACCTTTATAAATGAGTTTTGATAAAATGATTGGTATTTTCTTATATTATATTGTAGCATACATTTCATACATTTCCAGCCAAAAAAAAGATATTTTGAGTTTCCACCAGCAGACTGACTCAAATTTTGGTAAACATTTACCTTATATCCTTTCAGAGGACTTTTTGCGTGAAACTCAGGGAGCAGGCCTGCATGTCAGGGAATGGAAAATTTTGATCAGGAATAAAATGATCAGTTAAACAATTGTTATCAAGAACAAAAATATTTAATGATCATCTGTGAAAGTTTGGCACCAAAAACTCTGTTTTAAGCCAGTTTATTCCGAATGGATGTAATGGGATTATAAGAGGGAAATTCTCTGGCAGGTGCCTTACCATTTGGCAGCAACCTTCTTCAAATCTTATTGAAAGCACTGCAAGGATAATGTGATGAATAAGTTCCACAAAAGTGAGATCTTTTGGATGGGGTCCTTGAAGCTTTCAATACACTAGACACTAGATACCGGTAAGTGCAAATAGGGTCTTTGAGAGGTCGAGTTTATTTTTTTTTTTTGCCTCAAAATTCCACTCTTGTGAAAAATGTTGGAAAGCTGCACTTTATGTTTTTTTTTTTTGACCCTTTGACTCCCAAAATCAGAATGTTAATTCTCCCCTATAGTTGCTACATCTTTCCATGTAAATTAGTTATGAGAATTTGGTATTTAAATCAAGATAACAACCTCTGCTTGATAAGTTTGTGTATTCTCAATAGCTGTTAAGTGAATTACGTATTGTACATTATAGAGAGAAGTTACATGTTGATCACTTCTTGGAGTTTAAGGAGAACAAGGTTAGCTTTCAATTTTGAACTAGAGAGATTTGATAGTATATCTAGGTGGTTACAATAACATGGATTGAGAAGTGTCCTTCCTCAAGCACTTCAGTATTTTTGCTTATTATCATTTGTTTTTCTTCTTTTGTGTCAAGGGAGGGGGGTGGGGGGGGGGTGAGGAGGGTGAGGAGGGGGGTGCCAGGAAGGAAGTACTCCAGGTAGATTTGCCCTGCACAAGCCAGCTCAGTTTCCTTAATATTAATAAATATTTTCTTTTTGTTTCAGGTAAAAGTTGTCTACAAGCAAAGCATCCGTTGTTAATTAAAACAAGCAGGGGTTTCCGTTCCACTGGAAATATAATTTGTGCACTTAAGGGAGGGTACCACATAGTCCCTATGTCCTTTTTCCTCTCTTCCCTGACTCTTGGCATGCAGCAGAGACTAATTCTGCAGTATCTGACCCCCTTGAGGGAATATCAGGAGGTATGTACTGTAATTAGGCACTTGAGCATTTTAGTGATATATGAAGAACACAGAGAGTCTCTCCACCGAAGTACGTGGGAAGCTTGTGGGAAAAGGGCTCTGAATCAAGGATAAATTAGAAATGTCATATACTGTAACTTGAAAAATTTGAGTTTGGTCCGTTTTAACTAATCGTGCTCGGGCAAGAAATATTTTTTGGATGAAGGGACATACATTGATCTTGGTCAGAAGGTAACGCACTCGGAGCAAGGATTTTTGATCATCATATGCGCTTTCACTGAACGTGCGCGAGCAAAAAATGCTTTTTGGATAAAGGGACATAAATTGGCCTTGGTCAGAAGATAATGCACTCGGATCGAGGATTTTTGATCATGTGATGCATTTTAACTAATTGGCGCGAGTAAGAAATATTTGTTGGATGAAGGGACATACATTGGCCTTGGTCAAAAGTTAATGCACTCAGCTCTGAATTAAGAGGTTCTTTTTGAGCCGTAGAAAATTTTGTCAGTTGCTATGGCAACTAAAACAGTCGTAGCGTAGCCTGGAGCATTGCTTGGCCATTGATTTATCTTGACACATTTTTCTTTGAACATTTCAATTCAGCTGTTGCCGACAGTGTTTGAATCTAAAGCCCGGGATCTTGTAATGCACTACATTACATTTATAAGCCAGGTGGATCTACAACTTGTCTTTGAAGCCCTCAAGTTAGGTAGGTAGTAGGCAGTAACGTCATGCTTTTGTGTTGTACGTTTAAAAAAAAATCAAACTGATAGAATCAGAAGCAAAATACTGATGCTACTTGTGACTCCTTCGCTAATGATATGTGAAAAATAAATTGCTGGAGTTTTGAGCCATCGGTTAGCTCAGTTAAGAACTGGCATTGCCTGTGATTCCGACAATCGAGTTTTCACTGGATCATAAGCGTTGGAGTTTTTAGCAGAATCGGAAGAAAAGAAATTGCTCGGAATATTCCAACTCTTATTTCGTCAAGCTTTTGGCTCCACTTACGACTCCGACTCTCGATTTTCTCTGGGTCGCTGGCACTCCTACGACTAATGAACAATTTGACTCCAATTCTGTCTTGTGTAAACGAACCTTCAGACACTCTACCACATTCATCCCTCTTGAAAATCACTACTTTAACTCTTCAACTCCCAGATCGAATTTGTAATTTTCCTTACTGTCAACCATAGAATTCTTATGTTAGTTCGGATAATTTAGTATTGGATCAGCTAATCCTGCCCGAATTGATAATTTTCTTTATTCTCATTACTTATCTGGTTGATATTGTATTGATATTGTAAGGAGAAATTCTGTCTTGGTCACTCGTGGAAGTTAAAGGTTAAGACAATAATGTATTGTACCGACTGAGATCTGACAAAAAAAGCCTCAGAATTTAAAAGCTATTTCCTTTTATTGTCTTTTTAGTATTTGGCATCCCTTCTTTTTCATAAAAAGTTTGCCACAGAATTTGTGACTCATAACGGAGTCCAGCGGTTACAAGAAATGCCACGCCCATATGTGGTTGCTACAGGGTGTTCTATGTGTTTATATTATCTCGCTTACAATGAGGACGCCATGGAGAGAGTAAGACATTTTTTCATTTTAAAAAAATGTTTTTAGGTTTTCGGATTTGTAGTTGTAAGAAATACATTATTTAGTGCAGATTTAACTTACCAATGATCTGTGAGTTATGAGCAGACCAGTATTTTCTAAAAGAAAGAGGTAACGAGTATCATTCCGTTAAACATGAAATAACAATGATTAACACATCTCTGCTTATTTTTCATCAATCTCCCTTCCCCCCCTAAAAAAAGCTTATTTATGTATAACGTATAACCCACAGGTAGATAAAACATTACAGCACTTATTGCTGCATGAAGAGAGATAACAAAGGGATTAAAGAAAAACCGGTCAAATGGATAAATAGAATCGTACGCAAGGAGAATGAAAAAGATAAAGATAAAAAACATAAAGATAATCACTCAAAAAATGTTATCTTACAAAATTACCGTTAATTCTACAAAAAAACTTCAATGATTAAATTCTTGGTGCCTTTTTTCTACATGGGCCAGAGGATCATGAAATTAACAAACACAATATGTCGACGGAACCTCCTTAACTGTTTCAAGTAACTTGTTTCAGGTGTCCCTCCTACCAAACCCTGTGCTGAGTGACCTGGTCAAGTATGCATTGTGGCTTCTAGAATGTTCTCACGACTCTAACAGATGTCACGCAACTCTCTTTTTCTCGCTCACGTGTTCATTTCGAGCAGTGCTGGAATTGTTCGACAGTAATGATGGTCTGCGGAAGCTTGTGAACCGGGTAATTAGTCAGTTACATTTATTAGTCAGTTATATTATAAGTTTTTACTTTTTCTCCTCAGCCCGATGGCAAGTCTGTTTTATTTGGAACACAAATAGGCGAGTTGAAGGAATACAACTTAATTACTGGACAGGTACAATACTCAATTTACACCTTTTGATTTCAAGTCAAACGCCAAATTTTTCTTCAAATAGCTATATGTGTATGAATTAGTCGTTGATTGTGACAAGTTAAGTTGTCAGCTGTATCACACCTATTTTTTTTTTTCGTTCTTTTTTAGATTTAAACCGGTCAGTGCATGGTTTTCATGTTCATTTGTATTTCACGTATTTACTTTTAAAAAAATTACATTTTGCAGGAAGAGGCGACTTATCTCTGTAGCGCAGACAGAGCAATTTCCATGTGCCATTGTTCAAAAGTAAGAGTACAGTATGGAAGCTTCCCTCCTCATATAGTTAAAAATGCCTTTCTTTCTACTTCGAACAGGTCGAAAGTTTCATTAATGTTTTTCACGTCTTTTTTTTTTTTGGGCGCACCCGCCCCTCCCTCCCCCAACCCAAAAACAGTCAAATGGTAACAAGTTAGGTTCGATGTTGGACTTCGGTCCACATCCACACATACAAGGCAGCTCCGCTATTGATTTTAAATAACTTAACGTTCAGTCAAATTCCGTCTTCTTGTTAGCTGTTTAGTTTCCATATCTTTCGCTGAAACCAATCAACCCTTTTTATTCATCAGTTTTGCAACGCGTTTCGCAACGTTATGAACCTTTCTAAGGCTCATGTGACCATTTCAGGTTGTGTTCACGAGTTCATTTATCACTGAAATTGTCTTTTTGTACTTCATTCTTCAATTGTTAGGACCGCGAACTTTTATTGACGTCATCTTCGTCTGCTTTGCCTCCCTGTGCTCTTTGGTCATTTGGAGATGTTTTCGAAATGAAGTAAGTCTTTTAACTTGAAAACCTGTTTGATTCGTACCACTAGAGCATCTGATAGGCACGTCCTTGTTTGTGTCTCTGCTTAGTTTATTTGTATCTCACCTTTAACAAACTACAATGTTTGTCGCAGAAACATAAAACAAACACATACTTCACTTTGTTTTACCATTAATTTTTATTGACTTGAGGATCGCTGAAATGCAAAAAAAAGTTTTACATTGTTCTTTCAGAGCTACAACTTTTATAGAAGACACTTAGACAAACTAACTTCATAAATTACAGGAGACGAGCAATGACTCCAACTTAATTCACCTGCGGCAATCAACGCTCAAGATCAAAACAAGCAAAATGGGAAATAATTTAGGGGTATATCATGGCTCGTATCCTATAATCGGATTGGTGTTAATGACATGTGATAGTAGGCGAACTGTAATATTTCGTCGTTACATTTATCTCTCTATTTGATAAAAAGTGCGATTTACTTTATACTTTTATTTGTTTCTCTTTGGCTCAGACATCCATTTAGCGAAGACACTTGGGTAAAGTTTAGTAATTTACCAGAAGACAGAATTATTGGCACACACGACGCTACTGCGCATGTGAGTTCAAGACGTGATGCATTTTCACTTCCAAATACATCACGAACAGCCTTAGTTTGACAAATTGTCGCTGTTCATTTAGAACATTTACAAAAGGAAAAATTGATCAGCGAAATTGCTATTACGTGAACGCGAGACAGCAAGGACGATAGAATCGCTGATTTTGCCCAAGTTTGTGCGAGATCATTTTTTGTCTCGAATACATGGACTTTCAAGAGGAATTTTTTGCCCAGACTTCATGGGCAAGATCAGCTTTCTGCGCCTCAGTTTACTTGCTCTGAGGCCTCTTGGCTGTGTTTAATAATTTTTTATTTGTTATTTTGATATGCTTCAGAAACAACTTTGGTTTTTCTTTCACGTCACTCAGTTGAAACGCGTCTTTTGAAACATTAGTCGAACTTTAAGGCACCAAACTCGAGATTTCTATCGGTAGATCGTTGATAAATTGGAGGCAAAGCCTTGTGATGACCTTAGTAAAGGTTGACCAATGTTTTCTTGTATTTGATTCAGGTTTTTTTTTTTTTTTTTTTTTTTGTCGTTTATTGTGGTACTTCTCTGCCAAAACCCCCATTTTATTTGTCGATAACAACGAGCATTAGAATGCAGTTAGAGTGTGATGATATTATGCACGAGATTATATTCAACCATCAGATTTACGACACTGCGACAGGTCAGCGGGTACTAACTCTGCACCATTCCAACAACACTAACAACTCCTCAAAGAACCTCGCCTCCTTCAATCCCACGGACGACCTGGTACTGAACGACGGTGTAATATGGGATGTCAAAGGCAAACGGCTTCTACACAAGTTTGACAAGTTTAACAACTTTGTCAGCGGCGTTTTTCATCCCTCCGGGCTGGAGATTATCATCAATTCAGAGATTGTATCCTTTTTTTTGTTTTTAAAGAACGAGCTAATGCTATACTGTAAAGCAGTGAGTCCAGATTCACGAATATAACGGAACACAACGTCGGTCTTTCACGGATCTCGAAAAATCACTTTACCTCCTTCTTCTTACTTTGACAGTGAATTAGGAGAGAAATAGATATCAAGGACTATTATTTCATAAGAAAAGTTTATTGTTTCCTCATCTTGAGCGTTTTCGGGAACCACTACACAGTCACCTGACTAATCCACTGAGTACAAACTTAAGTCTGAGTATCCTAGGTGATTTGCCGGCCAATTTACATCATCAACCTAGTCGATAAAACCAAACTATCTGGTTATTTCCCCTCCCTCCCCACCGACGGAGCCTACTGTTTCTTGTAAAGCTAACCCCTTGGACTGTCTTAAGCAACTCCTTTCAAATCAACAGTTTGCCTTTTGTTTTGCCAATAATCCTTGACGCTAAAAACAGCGGCATCGTCGCTCTTTCCATTTATTGGACACGTGTCCTTCACTAGATCAATGTCGCGTGATCTTCAATAACGGTGGTGACGTCATGTATGGGGGTAATTTCATGTTTACTTGTTTACACACTTCTCAAATTCAAATCAATTTTTCACGAAGGAAATCAGACCCGACATTGAGGTTTTAGTGCGTCCGAGTCGTGAGTTTTAAGTTGTGATCTATTTGTCATCTCGATATTCAAATTCAAATTGAGAGCACAGAATACTCACCCGGGATTATGGTTCCATAGGTTTTCAGCAGTTTATAGATATCCAAAATTGCGTAAGAAAATTTTTCAGCTTTTCATCAATTTTTCAGCAACTTTTGCCGTGTTTGGAAAAGTGAAAGAGCTCTAGCTCTTTTATATGACTCATAACCCTAAAACTTCTGGCTCCAGTCTTTCGAAGGTTGGATAGCGCTATCCACTAGATAAAACTCTTTCCGTCGGATAGCGTTATCCGCCCTTTACATAACTGGGCCCTCAGGGAAAAGTACCTCAGAGCCTCTGATATCTCAAAAAATGAAAAAAAAAAAAAAATGAATTCTGGACTGAAGGGAGCGGTATTTGTTCTTCCGTATTTTATAGTAAAACATCTTTCGGATCCTTTGGGAATACCGCTAGCTTCCAGGCTCCTTGGACCGTACGAGACCTCGTTCAGGGGGGGCAATGAAGATTACGCTCGTCTGAGGTCATTTTTGGTTTGGGAAACTGTGTTCGCCCACAAACGGAGTTGTGGGCGAACACAGTTAGCATTAAAACTAATTATAAAACAAACCTTCGTGTGCAGAAGTGTGTCTGCTTTCAAGTACCGTTTACGATCAAATGGAAGAAACATCGTCAAAGGGATTAACGGAAGCTACACTCAAAGAACATAGAATGCAGTGAATATCAGCTCATATCTGTGTCCTCGGAGGGGGTTACGTCGAGGCCATTTGTCTCCTCGCTGAAAAAAAAAACTGCCTCACAGTTTCACTCATCCGCTCTACGCTTTTTTTTTTTCTTTTTTCTTTTTCTTGTGGTTACGGTTATTCGCTCATTTCCGAAAATGCGGTGACACACAATTAGTCAGGAGGTGTTTCGCCTTTTAACAGCCTCTCCGAGCAAGGGTCTTTTCGCCTTTCACCGCCCCCTCCTTCCACTGTCCACTCAAACTCCAAGTCAAACATGGCCGGTCAAATAATAGATCGCGAACTTCTTAACTTTAACCCGCCCTAATATAACGCCTGCACTGCAAGCTCAGGAGCTAACAGTTATCCCAGCTACCTTATGCCACGACAACTGGGAGAAACTTTGACAATGTGAGCCATCTGACTGGCTTTACTTGTCATTTCATGATTGCATAAGTTACAAAATATCACTGCAAGGATCTCGTCATCATGTCATAACAGTTCACATGAATTATTACATATCATAAATCCCGTAATGTTCTTTTTTAGAATCAGGCGAGCGCCGATGAAAGCGTTTGCCGGGTATACGAAGTTGGGCGGCTGCGTAGGGCTGATGACGAGGACGAGCACGTATGAGAATCTTGAGGACTTTGACATCAATATTCGTAGGAACGGACCAATCAAAGAGAAGTGAAACCGCCATCTTGGATGCGAATTCGGTTATGTGATTGGTTCTTGCCTTATTTGCATACAAAATCCTGCACTTTGTTAGGTTGTGGACTATAGCGCCCCCCTGGCACCAAAGCAGAGATGAACTTTAAATCACGTCACTTATTGCAACACGTGTTTTATGTAGGTCAACAAAATAACGACTCAATGCCTTTTTTCTCGTAGGAATCCGACGAAGGTGGCGAGGAAGATGACTATGTCGATGACGATGATGATGAGAATGATGATGATGACGATGAGGATGATGATGAGGACGAAATTGAAATCACGATATCTGGCGATGATGATTCGGATGATGACAGTGATATTGCAATCTTTTGAAGCGCAGCTTTTAAGTTTCCATCTTTCAGTTGTTAATTCAACTCAACAATGAGCACGTCATTCTGCTATGTTTTTATTTTTGAAAAAATGTATGTGTATCACACAATTTGGGAATGATAGTTTAGGCTTGGAGTTGAGGTTGTTGACGGCGGAGTTTTATGTCAATTGCTATGTAGCAGAAAGTAGAAGTCATCATCGAAAAAGTTACACCCATGTTACTGATTATCAAATAAATAGAAAGGATAGAATGGTTTGTTATTCCTCTTGTAATGTAAACCAGCCAACAAAGGACTAAAGTTACTCTTACTCGCCACAGAGTTACTACTTGTCGATATATTAGCCCAAGTGAAACAGCTAAAAGTCTGCCTGTATTTATTGCAGTCAGTGTGAGAACAGACACGCCACAGAAAATGACCCCCAAGGTTCGGTTGATGAGCGAGCTATGGTAACAAATTGCAGAGTGTTAAGGGGAAATTACGTAAGCAAGATGAAACGGCTGGAAAGTGAGTCCAACAATGATATCAGTGCATGCAAGATTACTGAACAAACATTTTGATGGTTGATGAAGGGAAGAAATCTTGCAGAGAGGGAAAAGAATGAGACCATTTCCCACAATGGCTGCAACGGAAATTATAAGATCAATGACGAAACAAACAAAATAAGACTTCGATCACATACGCCCGTGAAGCAACGAAATTGATCAATTCTTGTTTGGTTTGTATTTTCCGTCAGGTTCTCCATGTTATTTTATAGCAGTTACCACTCTTTCACCGCTAAAGGCGTTGAGAACTCTCCTCTTGAACACCACACTGAACATCCAAAGAACGAATCTAGTTTCCAAAATGAGCAGGTGGTGATATTTAAGTCTCTCTAGCCATATAAGACTTTCGACTGCAGAAGGGGGGTTTTCTATATTCAAGAAAAACAAAGTTGAAGCGTTTTCGGTCAATATCATTTTGTTTTCTTTTCCTATGTTGATTTTCCAATATTTCCTGTGGCTTATTTTTTCATTTTTACTTCAAAAGAAGCATGGAGAGAATTGTTTGTATTCAGCTGGCTATTTGCGGTGGTAACACTGTTTTTCCGCACACCACAGCCTACTCGTTTCAAAGCAAATTTCATTAATTTTAAAGTTGTGTTTTCTCTTCAGTTCTTAATTGAATTCATGCAGAGGAAAAAGTGATATCGAGCTAAGATTTTCACGAATATTTTTCAGCCTTGCGCTTATGTTTTTCGCCAAGTTAAAGATTACCTCTACTCACTAACATATTTTGACGTGCCGGCAAATTGGCTCTCGCTAATGAGTTCTGAATTTTGGGAACACGCGCGGCAAAGTAATCAATTTTTCTGTTATGAATAAACGGAAACTAGCATACGGCAGCCAGTTTACGTTCTCAACTCAGTTGATAACATTAGCTCTTTCGTGTTTTATTCATATTCTTCAAATTTTTTATCATGTTTAGTGAGCGGGGTGCCACATTTATTTAACATACTAAATGACGTAGAATCTGTGAATTATTTTTCGCCGATAATTTGTAGAGCTTCCTTAACAAGTCAGGTTTTCTTTTCAGTTCCTGACTCATGTGTGTCTTTGCCCTTCTTAGCCATGCTCGTTTTGTTTTAAGGTAACATATCTGTGGTTCCTTCATGATAAGCAAATGCTTTTTAGATGAAAAAAAATACATAATATACTAATGTTAAGGAACATCGTGGTCCATTCTCATAAATAAGGAATTCTTGAACTACAAACCACAACAAAACGCTATGATTGTCTTCTTTACTGCAATTCTCACTTCTCTGAACTTCCAGCACTAAAGAAAGAGATTCCAATTTAATTTAAAAACAAGTCTAATTATAGCTGTGACATTTGTCGTCGGAAAATCAGACAACGGGAGGAATTTTTTATCCAATAGAAACTGTTAAAATTCTCAACAAAACAATAATACTCTTATATCGATTACGGATCGCCCAATAAACGTTCATTTGCTGCCAAAAGAGGGAAAGACAGAGCCACAAGTCTGAACGTGAGCGCCAATGGCGACCCTCACAAGCCAGTTATCTTCACAATTACCAATTGGAGTAGTAGCATTTCTCCTCGTTTTCAACATTGTCTTCTCCTTCACTGCATCTCTTGGTAATGCTCTGCTTCTATTAACATTTTATAAAGCGTCCTCTTTGCATCCCGCTGCAAAGGTCTTGTTTGAATGTCTAGCCGCTACCGATCTTTGTGTGGGTCTTTTTTCACAACCTCTGTTCGTGACTGTTTTATTTCTTTACATTGATCTTGGTAACACCGACATAGATATTTTGTATTACGTCGAAGAGGTTGTTTGTATATCCAACTATGTTTTGTTTGGAGTGAATGTACTGATATCAACAGCCATCAGTGTTGACAGACTTCTTGTTCTGTTATTGAGGCTGAGATACAGACAAGTTGTGACACTAAAGCGAACTCAAACTGTTGTACTTTTATGCTGGATAATTGCTGTTTTATGCGGATTGGTTCGTGTCTGGAGTCAAACGGTTTCGGAAATTGTTGCTTTTGTGGCCGTCGTGGTATCTCTGGTTACTTCCGTGTTTTGCTACGTAAAGATCCACCTGAGATTACAGCGGTACCAGGCTGAAGTAGAAGACAACCCTGGCGAAGGACGGTCAAACGCAGGAGAAGATATAGGAGTAGGAAAAGATGAAGCAGGCGCAATAACGGGGACAAGAATAGCCACAGAAGAAGGAGCAGGAGTAAAAGGTACAGGAAGGGGAAGAGTACGTGCATGGACAGCAAAAGGTTCATCAAAACAAAGATTAAACGGGAGAGTTCAATTAAACATCAAACAATATCAGAAAACAGTTTCCAGCATATTTTGGGTGTAGTTGGCTTTAGTGGCATGCTACATCCCTTTTATAATTGTGTCGATATTGAGACATGCAGTACTTAGTGGATCAGTAGTTCATGCTCTGTGGCTCTTTACGAAAACTTTAGTTTATCTGAACTCATCTCTGAATCCCTTTCTTTACTGTTGGAAAATCGCAGAAGTGAGAAAGGCAGTAAAGGACACAGCCATGGGGTTTTGTTGTTCGTGATTCAAGGTCACCTTTATTTAGGTGGAAAAACTTCCTCGAATTTTCATATTAATCAATAAGGAATCATTGAATGCTGACAAGTAATTTCACTTACAGAGTCGAAAACTCTATTGCAATATGAAGAGGAATACAAATTTCTTTTTCTTTTCCATGTTCTCTTTACAGGAAGGAGAATAAGAAGAAGAGGAAGACATAACATCAATTAGTCTCTTTTTTTGCCATGAAATACAATGAGATATTGATTGAGAATTGATTCTTTCTATCTATTTTGGACGGGTTTCTAATATTTATTTAAAGATCGCCCATACATAAACAAAATTAATAAATAAACGTTAATTGTGGACTTGTCTTTGCTCGATATGCCCTGTTCTCTCATATCTAAATCTAATATCTCGCATTTTGACTGGACAAACCGTTTTCAGCGAAGTGCGAAGCAACTTTGTCGAATAAAACCTTAAAAGATTCTACCCCGTACATTTGTGCGGCCCCTTTAGTCCTCTTGCTGGCGTCGCTTTTAAACAAGGAAAGTTGTTATTCTCTTTTCCTTTTTCGCCGCTTCAGTTATTGCTGACTTCTCTATTTATACAGTCACAGTGAACCACTGCTTTCTTTTGCATTTTTGGCCTCTTTCAGCTGACTTTCCCCCCCACAATCAGGAGGAAAAACCTCAAGATGAATATGTCTAACCTTTATTTTAAAATGCGTCATGCTTGAATATCAAATAAGACCACATTAAACATCTCACAAATTGAGAACGCCACAAAAATGGTTGATTGGTAATTAAATGGCTTATATTTTGGTATTATTAAATTCGAGAATAACAAAAAACGAGATTTAGCTAAACTTTAAGTTCCCTTGAACATTAACTTTATGATGAAAACACCAGCGGTCGTATCAGCCCTTATCAATGTTCAACAAAATTTTTTTTCCACAAACAGTTCACACCTGCTTCCAAAAACAAAGCGTAAAATGTGTAATGATGTAATACGAATAAATCATTCACACGAGCTCTAGAATATACTGTAGGCCATTTTGGCAATAGTCTTGGTTTTAAGGGCGTGATGAATGACTCAATAACTTAGTCATTAAAACCGGTTACGCTCTCACAGAAAGGCACAATCTCTCTCCTCCTGACGGTTTTTAAGAAGTATTACGTGCTTAGTTATCGGTACCTGTTGTAGTATTTAGCTAGAGACTGGCAAATTGGGTCCTTAGGCTTTCAAATACTTCATTCTTAGTCGCAAAAATAAACCGTTTTTGGTTGACAGATATGTCAGCCTGCTTGTTTTGATAACACCAAGGGTAACAATACATGATTATTGACACACTTCAGTTGTTGTTGTACAGGTGCTGGTGTTGGTGGCCAGCCAAGACCTTTCAAGTTTATTTATATTTCCTTCATTGACATTAATTTTACAAGATATGGATAGAAAAATGATCCATTTTCCAATATTGTCTTCTCGGAAATGTTTGCATTATTATGATAAGTTGCGATGCCAATCGCCCTATTGAAAGTTTATCAAATGATTATTTCTTAACTCTTCACCAAAGTAGAGTTAACTAGTGGTGGATATTTGCCAAGCTGCCAAGCAGAGATGTAAATATCTACCCCTAGCCACCGGCACTTAGATGAATATTTGTTTCTGTATATAATTTAATACTGTGAGATAAAATAATACAAAAATATGATTTTGAATAATTTATTCCTGTAATAGTCACAACATTTTTGGGCGCAAATCCCCTGGAGGTGAATGGAGAAGGATGTGCGGAGTAACGTTTTAGTGACTACTTTCGGGTTCCTTATATATATATATGGATCGAAATATGTCAGATTTTAGGGAGATTCAAATAAAAAAATAATTTAATTTAATTTCGTGTGCAGAAATTTCAAAACCCTATCTAAACGATAAATACTTCCTTATAAGCATATTGAACAGTCAAAGAGATAACTACTGAAAAAAGGCAAAAACCAAAATTTTTGAGATCGACATCAGAGTCACCACCGATCTTTTGATCGACGATCGTGGTTTTATTTCACTTTCATTTTAAGGACACTCCCTGTCCCGGAAAAAAATTGTTGTCTTAGCCCAGCCTTGAACTGGGAGAGAAATCCGAAGTTTAGTATCATCTAATAATATTCAGTAAAACAAGATTGAGGGGCATATAAAAAGTCATTTACATAAATTCTTAACAAAACAAGTCATGTAATAACCGCTTGTGGCACTCTGGATTCAAAGACCAGAGAGTCAGGGACTCAGAATTTATGAGCGCTACTTGTTTTCTAGCAGATGGATTAATGATGAACTAAGCCACGCCGAAATGCCCTCGTTTATTTTGTCAAAGGCCTTGCTCATGTCAAGAAACACGACGACGGACAGTAAGAAAATAACTGCTGTTGCCTATTTCTCTAAAAATCATAGCACAGTACTTCTCAAGATGAAAGTTGAAGTAATGGGTTAGGCAATGTCAGCGTTATATGTAAGAGCTCGTGAAAAAAAACAACTGAAAATGACTGAATGAGAATCCATTATTATATTAGCTCGTCTGTGTTTCTCGAAAATGCCATCTATTGCTTGATTAAACTCGACATATTTGCTGACATAGTGCACCAGGAAGGTTCGATTAGTGTCAACAATATTTAAACACAATATCCCGAGACGCCAAAATGCCTGAAACTGTGGAGATAAAAAGTAAAAAATCATGCTTCCTTGGCACTTGGAATATCTGCCTTAGGCCAACTTCTGCACTAAGAATCATCACAATGGGGTCATTTATGTTTCAAACTTCTAAAACACTTTTCTCAGACAATGATTAGAAGCAGTGATTTGAAATAACAACATTCAAGACTAATCAGCTTAATACCGCCTATCTAATCAACAAATTGGAATAGAGAACTCGATTGAAAAGGCCGGTGAGTCAGTAGCTGTCTACAAAAAGGATAAAATGTATTTGGTTAATAATGTTTTGAGGATATGCTACTCCTGGTTGCTAAGAGAGCGTAAGCTGGGAATAGAAAAATATATACACTTATCAGAACTAACGCAGCGCTACTGGATTTTCTTTCTCTTTGAAGGAGGCCAGATGTCATTTTAGTTTATGGTATCCTTCAAATCTACAGTTAGATCCAGACCAGCAATTTTTCTACAATGAATGGAGTAAACGAGACGAGTTTAGCTTATATAAATTTATTGAAACATTAAGGGAGTGCTTTACAACAAGTAAATTATTCTTAATTAGATAAGGAAATATTACTTATACTAGGAACAACACTCACAAACTTGCGCAGCATTTCTGACTTGATCAGTTATAAAAATTATCTTAACAGCAATTTCTTTTTTTTTGTCTTTTTTTTTGTCTCTATCAGCCTACAGTCAATAACATCAACAAAGCACTGACAAGTGCACCAAGTGAATAAACGGTAAACTAAGAAATGCAAAAGTGAAGGAAATAAACAAGTTTTTTCTTTGAAGGAAATTCCACTTAACCCCCATTTATAAACTATGAAAATGGTTATCATCACTACCAAAGCATTACTAAAGTAAAAGTACGAAAAAACCTACGTCTTAAAATCAAAAACTATGAAATATTGAGGCTGAAATTCTCGAGATATAAACTAAAAATTACCACAGAGTGTTATAAGACTACAACCTTAGAGGTTCAGCAATTCTGCTATTAAGCCTCAGTCCTGCACGAGAGGAGTTGCTTCAGATGACTCCTCGTCTTCGTCACTTCCAGTTTCGTCTATATCCGCAGCAGTAAGTTGATTACCATCATACTCTTGTACGCCAGCTTCTCCGTCAAAAGGGTCTACAGCATCACTTTGGTCGTCCATATAGTTTCCAAGATCGTCTTGTTCATCCTTCGTGTACTCTAGTTGGCAAGTCTTAGGTTCTTCTTCTACTGCCTCCGTTTCAGATTGAACTGCTACAGCACCTTCATAACCAACGGTATTTTCAGGTTTACTTGTTACATCTTCGTCATTAGTTTGAATTTCTGGAGGGAAGACGAAATCACTGAGGCCTTCTTTTTCGATCAGAGGATTGTATTCTAAAGAATCAAGATCTTCCTCTTCGATCACACAAGGGAATGGTGAGGCATCGGGTTTGTTCGCCTCATTTGCGGAGCGTGCGAAAGAGGTAGGATCTTCTTTTTCGGTAGCAGAAAGGCATTCTGTGGCTTCCAAATCTTCTTCCCCAAGTACAGGGGAGCATGCTGAGTTATTGGAATCTTCTTCCTCAACCACAAGGGGGCATGCTAAAGAATCAGAATTTTCTTCGTCAGTCACAAGGGGACATGCTGAAGCAGCTAGACCGTCTTCGTCCATCACCAGGGAGGATGGTAAAGGATCAATTTCTTCTTCCTCAATCGCAAGAGGGCACTCGGAGTCATCAACATCTTCTTCCTCGTTCTCGCTAAGGTATGGTAAAGTATCACTCTCCAAAGGGTACGCTTGGGCATCCATATCTTTCTTATCACTCTCAAAAGGGTATGCTGCACAACCTTCTTCTTCTACTTTGATTCCGAGAGGAAAGCTGTTGAACCATCCTCAATTCCAACCATAGAGGGATATTCCTGCAGCTGCCCTTTTTCTTTTTTTTCTGTTTTCGCTTAACCATAGAGGGATCTGCGGTAGCACCGTGCTTACCCACTTCACGGGCGAGATTTCCTGCAGCTGCCCCTTTGTCTTGTAAGTTAATAGCGAAGGGGAAAGCTGTAGCACCATCGTCAATTGCAACCACAAAGGGATGTGCAGTAGCACCGTGCTTACCCACTTCATGGGAGAGATTTGCTGCAGCTGCCCCTTCCTCTGGTACGTTAATAGCGAAAGGGAAAGCTGTAGCACCATCGTCAATTGCAACCACAAAGGGATGTGCAGCAACACCGTGCTTACCCACTTCATGGGAGAGATTTGCTGCAGCTGCCCCTTTCTCTGGTACGTTAATAGCGAAAGGGAAAGCTTGAGCACCATCGTTTATTGCAATCACAAAGGTATGTGCCGTAGCACCGTGTTCACCCACTTCACTTTCAGGATTCGTTTCAGGTGCTCCTTCGTCTCCTGCGTTAATTCCAAGAGGGAAAGCTGTAGCATCATCGTCCACTGCAACCAGAAAGGGATGTGCCGTAGCACCGTGTTCACCCACTTCACCGATGGGATTTGCTGCAGCTGCTCCTAGCTCGTCCGGTCCTGCATCTTCTGGGTTTGCAACAGCTCCACGGTCATCGACAGAGTTGTACTTATCCTGATCATACTTGTCATCGTCAAAGATATCTACATATGTCTATGAAAAAGATTAGAAGGTAATCAAGAACTGCATGAGTTAAAAATCTTGAACGAATGAATTTCAAAAATTCAACAAAGAAATTCCAAAAATGAGTCACTAAAAAGAAAAAAAGGAGCAGATCAGATATCAATCACAAAGACAAGAACCATTAGTACTTGCATGAATTGATAAGAATAAAAGTCAGGTAAGGTCTTCCTTTCTGTCAAAGTTTTCCAAAAGTGTTATTTTAAGATCTGTTCCGTTCTTTCTTGTGTGTAGGCAACAGAGGGAAAATAGGGATGATCCAGACTGACATAACGTAACCACACTTGCATATGTTTAAAAGTAACATTGGCTCATGATGAAACTGAATTCACAAATTGTTAGCGGCTGGGTAGTTAATGCGTTTTGACATCACATTGACATGAAAAGAAATTCGCAATTGACTTGGCAGGATACAAATTTCAATTTCTGAAGTATATACTGAATTAGACGCTGTATGGCAAACCTTTGTTTTAATATATGTATCCATTGTTTGGTAGAGCTTCACAAAGTGTGGCCGGCTGGCGCTTTCGTATTTCCAGCAGTTTAACATCACCGCGTATCTATAGAAAAACACAGGGACATATGATCACAGTAATTCTGCGGTAGGCATTAATATTGCGAGTAGCAAAGTTGAGAAACCACAACTACTTACAAAAATAACTGAAATGCTAAGTTTATCTCATTACTTTGCAGCTCAAACGAATTCTGTGATGAAAAACCCATCGTATTCTTTATTTGACTCAACAACTTTTCATTTTAATTTTTGTAGTGACAAGATAAAATTAATTTCTTAGGAAGGCTACTTATTCAGAGCGAGTGTATCAAAAACACCTGACCACAGCAGCAATCGATGTTGCTTTTGACTTATATAACATTCCACACAGAGGAAGCAACACTTACAAACTGTCGTCGATATGTTCAGGCTTTGGCAGACGATAACCTTCTTCGATTTTTTTCATTGTCGTAGATTGAGACCATCCATCGTAAGGAATGCCTCCTGTGGAAAAATAATGTTTTTTTTCTGTTGGCCAAAAAAGCACACTTTTTTTTGTTGTAATCACTTTCATTCCTCTCAGCGCGATCGAAATGATTCTTCTGTCAAAACGACAATTAATTCCTGAAATACATTTCGGTTTTACATCAGATGAAAGAGTACTGTAAAAAAAAACAAATTTAAGTGTAGCGATGGATTTAAGGTTTTTCAATAATGTACTAAATACTTTCAGTTCTACTTAAACTTAAGCTTTATTTCAAGTTGTTATGCATCGTCATAATTTTATTTATCAGCGCCATTGAGTGTTGCTTCTACTTCTTTATTGTACAATGCTCATTTGCCCGCTCGGTATCACTCATCAGTTAGTAATTATGCGTGCAATTTCGGCAAGTATATTTCCTGAATATAAAGTAACAAATAAGTTAAGTACCGACAGTGAAGATTTCATACAAGACGATGCCGTAGGACCACCTGTCAAAGAAATGGAAGGATGACGATATATCTCAACTGGGTTAGAAAGATAATAATTACTCAGATACTTGGGATGTTTAAAAACATGCCATCAAGATATAAGCAACCTCCCTAGGAGAAAACGCCATATTTATTAGTTTGATTATCCACTCATCCTTTCATCCGTCTTTTTTTGTCTTAATCAGATTTTGGATAGTGGTCGTTAAACTTAATATTCATATAAAGTCTCATACTACAACTGTAACCTCAGCTGTTCCTCAGCTGGACGTTTCCTAATGACTCTCTAATCAATAGAGCACTGAATATTCTAGTTTCCCTCGCTACGTTAAAGTAGAATCGTAAAAAATATTAACTCTAGGAATATATGTAGATAATAACCAATACAGTACGTACACATCGCTTTTGGTTGACAGCTGTTCCACATGTCCAAAGAGAATCTCGGGTGCAGTCCATTTGATTGGGATACATCCCTGGATGAGTAACCAAAATATTATAAACATCTGAAATCTAAAGGGGCTTGTATACAGCTCCTAAAATAATTTGCATATAAGATTAAAACCGTGATGTGAGGATTCACGATAAAGTCAACAGCAGTAGACACCTTTGTACAAATTCTATGAAAACAATCCAGACACTCCTTTTGCTTTAAATTTCCTGTGTTACTTTACCCTTCGAGTTCGTATCTTTGTTATTCAGAGAACGATATCTCTTCCGGCTTTCTTATTTTCTGTGTTCATTCTTTTTTTTCTGTGAAAGCTTCGATACGCTTAGAATGGCTTCTCATTAAAGGGAAATATGTTTTGCAGTAAGACTGTATAACTGAAAAGAAAGGTTTGTAAGGACAGTAATATTTTAATTCTTCACATTTTTATCTTCCATACCAGCAGCCCCAAAACCAATTGACTAAATGATGAAAAAATCCTGAAAATTACCTTCTTGGCATTTCCTGGGCCGTATTTGAAATCCTGATAAGAGAGCCCAAAGTCAGTCAACTTGCAGACACGATGCTCATCAAGAAGAATGTTACGAGCTGCAAGATCGCGATGAATTATCTGAAATCGAAAACAAATAATTATATGATCTGCTAAAAGGGACTTTTATAAACTACATAAAATAAAAAAGTAAAATATAGGTAGAAAGTTCAACATCATGCTAATGTCACACCATTTCTCTGTGAAATAGTGACTCTAATGTGCTGGATATTTTTAGCCGTATGGAGTATTACTTTGACGATTTGCAAGTCATGCCATTTTATCACATGCAGGACCACATGCTGACCAGAAAGAGTTTGAGCACTTACCCCTCTGGACGCGAGGAAAGTCATACCATGTGCGATCTGTTTAGCAAACAGCACCATGTCATATGTTGTCAAGTGGTCGACCCCTCCGACCCCATGATGATATTGATCGAAAACCCCCCTGGATTTTCTGAGATAACCCAGCAAGTCACCTCGCCACAGGTACTCCATGATAAGTATTGGCTGAGCTAAAAGGGAAAAACAAGAAAATTATTTTACGGTAAGCAGTGCAGAAGTTCCAAAACGTTTTTGAATTGTACATGCTTTATCTAGTTATACCTCAGGTTATATCTGTAATGAATCAAGTAGAGACAGAGAGGGATAGTGAAAGAAGAAAACACACAGATAGAAAATAGACGGACAAATACGGCCGATAGAAATCTACAGACAGACAGACAGAAAAAACAGAGATGGCAGATAAATAGACAAAGACTTGCCATCGTAAGTTGAAGTTTTTATCACAATTAGCATGTAGATTTTAGAGCTAACATCTTCCAAGTAAAATGCCCCTCATACAGTGCGAAGTAAATTCATTTAAAACAGTCAAAAAATTGAAAATAACCATTGAATTAGTACACCATCTTAGCAAGGACTAGGAATACTGATAAAAGTAATTGTACCAGTGGTTGAACTCAGAGATGTCTCAATCGTTGCTGTGAATTAGCTGATTATAATCATAACAATAGCTGATTACCTCCAACTGTGACACAACCAATGAACTTAACAACATTTTCATGGCCCTCCCTTCCAAAGAGTTTTAATAACTCGATCTCTCTCAGCAGGGCCTTCCTTCCTTTCTCTCCGGAGATTGCTAGGAAACCACACAAAAATTAGATAAACAAACAAACTTTGCATGTCAAGAGAGACACAATTAATTATGTGGTAAACATCCACATCTGGAATTGTTGTATGCTTGGTGTTATCTTACCAGTGCAAATTATAATGCATTTGGTCCACATAAAAAAAAAGTTAGCTTACTAAACTCCATATAATCCATACTTGCCACAAAAATGTCAGTTAGCCGTATTGTTCAATTTATTGAACATGAAATTTCCAAAATAGATTCATCCTCCTTGAAAAAAATATTTGCTAAGAAAACGCTGCGCATCTCGAGCATTGTTGTTAACTAGGCAAGCCCATTGAACCGTGCAATTGTTTACAGATAACTTACAAAAGTAGAGACGCAATTAAGCCTAGAAATTCCATCTGTTATAATACCTAATAGTCGGTCGAATATATATTTGAGACAGTTTTTTTTAAATACATGCTCTGTTTGCGCCTTTTTGTTTCCTACAGGTCATAAATTAGATAATCCTTGCTTTTATCTTACTAAAAGCTACAATAATTCGTAAGCATTCCCAGAGTTATTATAAATTCATTTGACTCTGTAAGTTTGTTACAGCCGAACCTGTATTTAGCGGTCACGCGCGGGGATGGTTGACCGTTTAATATAGGTTCCACGGAATAGGGCTACTATTGATAAAAGTTTAAAAATGCCACTCTATGTCATCACGGACCACTTAACATACACAACCTCGCTCAAAAATATTCCTAACATTGATTTCGGGAGATAAACATGGATTAAATTTTACTTGAAAGATTATTCTTAATTTTATTTGATTACTTCCGCTTTAGTGACCGTTCGATAAAGGTAGGGAACATTACAAATAGGCTGTTGGGACTTAGTAAAAGGTGACCACAACCGCTTGATATAAAAAGTACTATAAGTAAAGGAGGAAAGTTTCGGGACTTTCAAAACTGACCGCTTATTACAAGGTGACCGCTTCATACAGGTTCTACTGCATTGGGATTTTCAGCTTGTCCAGCGCAAGAAGATCATACTACCACCACTAGACTGGCAAATGGCTCCGAATTTTTTCCGCTAGACTCACCCTCTCAAGGTTTCTTTGAGGTCTCATGACATTATTTCCCACTAAAAGTTTCTGAGCGGGCAACTTTGCAAAATATACGACAGAGTGACATTTTTAGTATTGTAGTATTTTCCGCTTTTATACACTTGAATGCAATTTACTCGATAAATTTTCATTTTTCTCCACAGCTTCTTATACTCCAAATGATATTCGTGTTCTTTTCTATTTTAGTAGCGTTGTATGACAAAAGATTTAACAACTGGTCCCCCCGGGAACCATCCGCTAACAATTAATTTGACATGCCAGCTGATAAATCATTTGAACAGCGCATAGTTTTTAAGCTATCCATGTTATGTATTAGGTAGGTTAATAAAGCATGTTCTAAGAGAAATACTCTTTATTAGGATAACTTACTCAAAAAATTAATAAAGGATAGTTCAATCAAGCTTTGTATAAAAGAAAGACCTGAAAAAGTACTTACGTAGGTAGCATTTCGCAGCAACTGTGCGATTTCCAGGTCTGCCACGGGAACGACCCAGTAGCGCTCGCCACACTGAACCAAATGCCCCTTTGCCAATATGCTCGCGAAGGATCAGGCGGTCGGCTGCAATCTCCCATCCGTCTGTGTTTGCGTTCAGCTGATCCATCTCAACTTCATCTTCCCCTTCACTGAATAATTGCAGATGAAAACAAGACTTTAACTATCTGTGTTACCTATCTATCTTTTCCTTCTTTGAATCTGGTTTAACATAACGTGGTAGATATATCCTCTATATCTTCAATTTAAATTTTTTTTCTTTTCATTCTTTTCCGGGTGCTTCAGAAAATTAACACTTGCCAATGAAAAATTATTGAAATAGGTGAAATTTGGATGCTAATTTACTGAACCCGTTTTTTCGACGCATCGACCCAGAGAGGAGATTTTATCAAAAAAAAAATAGAAAAAGATTGAATAAACCTCGCTTGAAGATAATCTAGCGCCGACTGTGTTTTTCGGCATTTTACGTCATATAAATATCGTGCCTCCTACGCGAGAAATGAAATACTAACAAAAACCATCCGAAGCATTGTCTACAATCGATATATCGAGTGGTATTTTAAATCGTTCTACAAGACTCCGAGTGTGTTTCAACTGTAGTTTCTGTAACAAACAGTGACGAAGGGTCAAAGCTTCTCTTCTTCTTTACAAGTATGCCACCCACAACCCAGCATACTGGTAACAACAAAAAAAATACTAAACAAGGTGTCAAAACAAGTGAAGGACGGAGGAATTCAAAACAGAAAGAACGTCGGGAAATAGTTGACTGCCATTTGATAAGAACAGCGTCGAAATCTGCTGCTGCTTCGAAAGGAAAATCTTTTATTTTGGCCCATGTGCTCTTGATTGTGAATATAATCGGTCCAAAATGAAAAAGAGACTTATCGCTACTCACCTGAGACTTATTCAAGAGTTAGAAACTTCGAATACAACTACACGTTCAAACAATGAGCATTAAAAAAGAGAGAATTTACTTACTTCAGCCTAGGTGGCACCTCAGGTGGGGCTATCATCAAAAGATATGTGGAAAGAGATGAAAGAAATCGTTTAGTTGGGAGTAAGAATGACATCATTAACTAAGTTGAAGCTTGCGACTCAGAAACCACGTGTGACTTATATTTGACTCTGTAGTCAAACAACGAGAGAAGGAATAAGGTGGGTTATCATGGTAATTAGTTTCATATAATTTGCAACATTTTTGTAATTTGATTAGTAATGGGCTTTGCCGGGACTGTAGAGGGACCTTCAAAATCAGTGCTGGAAATGCAGAATATGACCTTCTTAAAATGGCTCCTTCGTGCTCCAAGACACTGACGTATTAAAAGCCACAATCTGCCATATGAAGACATTTTATTTTCGTATGGTAACATTTTACCTGTAGCACGGCGTTTTTTAATGTATGAAATGAACGACAGTAGAAAAACGACAGCAGCCAAAGGTCCCGCAATGTAGTACCACTCCAGTGAGCTGCTGGAGGAAGATGAACTGCTGGAAGGAGCCTCTGAATTTCCTGAAACACAATAATAGAAGAAGCTTTATAGGAAAGTGATTTGCTGGTCGGCAAAAAATTGATATCACCAACTATCCAGATAGAGAGCTAACTTTTTTTTGTTCCAACAATTTACTTTGTTCATTGCTTGCGTTGGGTGACGGGGAATAACTCATGGAAAAACAGACGCAGATGTGTTAAGTTACAAAAAAAAGGCAGATAGACAGAGAAAGATTGATGATAGAGTTAGAGAATATGTATAACATGCTGCTACTGTTTCAAACTCGTTTTCATTTCAAATTTCTGTTCCCAAAAGACCAAAAAAAAAACTGGAAAAGTTTTGTGAGGAACATAAAAGGCGGATTTGTATTTTATAATAATGACCTCACATAGTTAATGACTGAAATTATATGTAGTTCCTTAAACAGCTTACCTTTGACATCTACTGTCACAACAGAGCGAGCCACATTTCCTAGCATGTTACTTGCTTCACAAGAATATTCACCACTGTCCTCTTCTACAACTTCAGTAAGATTAAGTTTACTCGTTTTCTCATCTAATCGTGTCTCTATAGCTGCTTTTTCTGTTATTAGGTCTCCATCTTTTTTCCACATAATGTTGATTGTTTCTTCGTTGACTATGCAGATCAATTTGAGGGTATCTCCTTTTGTGAGTGTTATGTATTTCTCTGGAAAAAGTAGAGCAGAGGCTTTTCCTGCGTTGAAAAAGGGGCAATTCATTAGTATGCTGGTTTCTCATTAAAACTACAACTACATTATAAACACACCAAAAAACAAACACAAACACAAACATTGAAACGAAACGAATCAAATGTGACCTTCTGCATAATGTTTCGAATATGTTGCTTTAGATGAAAAAAAAAAGAAAAGAAAAGTATTTCCTTGTGAGTTTCGTAAGGTTTTCGTAAGATTTTCAGAACAAGCTTGAAACCTTTATGTTTTAAATTTCCTGATTACTGTTTCAACCGCCCCAGATCCTCCGCTGAACTTCTAAATTAAGGTCTCGGTAATGTTCCATCTTCTCTTGTTCTTTCTTCTATACCCTTGTGTCAAATGGACACAACAAGTGAGTCATGCAACACGAAGTTTTTTCTTTTCAAACACTGCGGTAGCGGGTCTGATTTCAAGTAGATGATCGTCCGTTTAAATTCTAAAGTACTACAACAACTTCATGAGGTGGTTTTCTATCACTTCCTGAGGAGAGTGGACTTACTACATTTTCTCGAGTGGACTTACAACATTTTTTCAAGCTGACACTGTTAAATTTCCATTGAAAAATTGTGGATATCATAGACGGAACTAGAACCAAGAGCTGTTATGACAATTCAATCGACAGAGAATACTTCATGGAAAGTCTGTCCGTATGGTATTTAACGCGCGAGTTGGTAGTATCGGAAATCGAATGGGTGTGCGCAGCGAACCAATGAGATTTCTTGTACAAACCGACTCGCTGTTATCTCTTTTGTGTTTTTGCTCTGTATGCTTTCTATTCCGCATAATTCTCCACAGAGGTTCCTCAGTCATCTTTTGTAAGTAATTTGATTTAATAAACAGTCCTGAAAGCCGATTTTTATAATGTTACGAACGGAAACTATGCCGGTGAAGGATTAATAGAATAATACATAGGCGCGCGTAGATATGTAATTTCTCTTAGAGTGTTTAACTCGATAGCTCACGAGTGAGCGCAGGGAATGAGTGAGATGTCGAGTTGAACACGAGAAGAGAAATTCCATATCTATAAGCACCCATGTATTATTTTTTTTTATCATATAAACACAATAGCCCTTTACTGAGAAGAAAAGCCGGTTTCATTTATAAATGAATATAAATTAATCGACAATCCCCGAATAACAATCGTAGAGTGCGTTGGCGCTAACTCCCAAGATGGAAAAATGCGTTGAATCACGATTACAAAACAACAATGCTCGTAATTTTCAATTAACAAAATTCTCATTTATTGACTTTATCCTTACCGACAGAAGAAGTCTTTCAGGTAAACGGCCAAAATCGGCCAGTAGAAAATCTTCCAGTTGTCGATTTTCATTCTCAGCCGAGAGAAATGCTAACACTAAAGCCACTGAATAGGAAACTTTCGGTTTTTCTTTTAGTATATTGGTTTTCTTTGCCTTTTAGGAAAGTTTGAACTTCACTGTCTGTTAGCGATACGGATTTTTTAGTGTTTTAGCTGCCGTAATTCGAGAAAGCTCCGACAAACAAGTTGTATCGAGAATCGTGAATGCTTTGCCATTCATTCATCAACCTGACCGAGTGGCGCCAAAGGCGAGTGACGTATCAGCAGCCGATTGGCTATATCAACACACGTGAAAAAATACAATATTTTTTCACGTGTGTTGTTTCGGTTTTTCTCTGGGCCGGAAATCCCAGTATAACACCGCAGTTTATGTGATAAATAAGAATAACATACGCTTCACGGGTGAAAAAGCACGATACGCTGTTCCTCCCGCGTAAAAAAAAGCGATATGCGCCGTTTGATTGACTCTCGGCTTCTTGGACCAGCTTGAGAAAAAAATTTTATTTCATGCGTTTTCAGCGTGTAAATCCCTAAATCTTAACTCTGTAATATTCTCCATCCTCATTGGCTGAGCCACATTACGAGTTACAAAGCCATAAATCAACTTTTTGGAGAGATCTAAGAGAATTGAGGGTGCGAGGGAATTCTTTCGAATGCTTAATCGCTATTCGACCTCCGATTTCGGTCACGGATACAAGCGTATTCGCTTTAAGTAGTTTCCTCTGTTTTAGTCTTGTTGTTCAATGTAGAGATTACAATTGTGTGTCGTGTGTAACTTTGACTTTTGCGTCTCGCTTCCTTTTTGCTTTCTTCCGAGATTCTGGATCTCTCCGTCTCGGAATTCTCTTCTTCAGATTTTTCTAGCTTGAAAGTACGTTGCACATCGTCAAGTATTTCGAATCAATCAACTCTCTATAGCGCCATCACCTGTCCTCTTTCCTTGGCGTTTCTTTCCTACTCAAATCTACGCAGTTCTTTGCGTTTGGAATCATAAAGATCCAAGGACATTAGTATTAAGCATTGGTATCACCTTTTTTTTTTTAAGGTCAGGCCCCGGTCGATCGAAGGGTAGATAACAGTATCCATAAGATAAAACTCTATCTGGTGGATAACGCTTTATATTTTACTCTCACTCATTCACCGAATAAATATTTAACCGTTAGATAGCGTTATCTGCCATTTATACAACTGGGCCGTGTTTGCCTAAATTCTCTTCGCGCTATTCCTTTTCTCCGTCACTATTGCCCATGGACTTACAAGTTCATTTTTCTGTCTTAATTTCTTCTCTCCCTATTTCTCTTCTTCATCTTCAACATCATCATCGTCATTATCAACGTCATCATCGTCGTCGTCGTCATCATCATCATCATCATCATCATCATCATCATCATCAATATCATTATAACTGAACTTACCATAAACACGCAGAGTTGCTGAGGAACTGGTTTTGTTTGCTTTGTTTTTTGCTGTACACTTGTAAGTCCCACTCATCCCTTTCGTAACACTTGCCGAAACTAGGAATGATTCTTCTTCGTGATCGGTTTGATTGATACCAGATGGCAGGTCACCATTATTAAAAGTCCAGACGAAGGTTGGTGTTGGAATACCTGAGGCTACGCAATTAAGGTTTACAGGGTATCCTTCGGTAAGAAATTGGCTTTTCGGAGGCTCAATGATCTGGGGAGAGACTTGAAGTAAAAAGATCACCAAGCTAAACAAAGGGTCGCATTTTCCATTTTAAGCCCCTCTCCCCCTTCCCTTATCCAGCCCTAAATTAACTAGTTTCAAAATAAAAGAAGTCAAGTCATGCCAAGTCTATTTTTAATCCAAGGTTATTTTGAAATTAGTTTTCTTCACTTTTGATATAGGAAGGTATAAGTCAGCCCAATGTGACATCAAAACATTTTTTTATTTCCTTAAAAGATTTCCTATCTTAGCAACAGCCCAGGAGGTAACAATTTAGTTACCTATTTATTAATTTCTTCGTCATTTTCTTACTGGTTGTTAGGTGTAATATCAACACCCCGTGCTACCATGTTCAAGAGTACCAGTTTCTCTAAGTTCAAACTACACATTTACTTTGAAGAATAGCTAAATAGTAATGGTTAAAAGGTTTGCATTCCATGAAAAGATTACGTTAAATCTGTCATTTTAAACGCTCAGATCGTCCATTGTAGCAGGAGTACAAGTTCATAACGACGTAACAGCGGGATTACTTTCATGTATTTCTTTGCAGTTTTGGTCGCCGAATTTTCAAATTTTAAATCAATGAAAAGTTTACATGGATGTTTCGCTTTCCAACTTCAGTAATATATACTTAAATAATAATGCACTGATAGCCACTTTGACATTTTTGCACTTCTAAAATGGTATATGAATCGTGATTTGTCAGTCATTGGTATTTAAGAAGCAGAAAAAAAGGTAATTAAAAAATTTAAATGGACTTTTATAATAAATGCCGTGACAAAATATGGTGATATCTATAAAGTCAAAATTGCTCGACGTTCCAAAAGGCAATCAGTTTAAACTGCCCAAAAATTAATAACATGTGTCTGATCACGAAATTCATTTACATTTTGTGTGTAAGTTGGCATGTTCTCGCCTTTTAAATGTTATCATCAATTGAGTACTTTTTAATTATTTTTAGTCAATTTTGAAATTTTTGTGGTTTCAAGTCCTAAAATTTGATTTGGTATCATGGAAACGATTTTATCCTCATCCAACCAAAGATCTAAATTGATTATCGACTCCAGTTCTTTCTATGTGTAAATAAGAACCGTACCTCCCACCACTTGGATCCAGAAAGTTGAGTTTTTGCTTCCTTCGCTGTTATTGGCGCTGCAGGTGTATGAACCAGAGTCTTTCAATCTCGCCTGGCGAATCGTGAGAGTGTTGTTGTTACCGCAATTCACCCCATCCTTAGTCCACAGTATCTCAGGTGTAGGGAAACCGCTCAGAGAGCAAATGAACTTAAGGGACGAGTTATAGGCAACCAACTGATTCTTGAGCTCAGTATTAATTTCAGGAGGACCTGGACATAGAATTCAAAAGTACAATTCAAAAAAGGTGAAAGTATAAAAAAAAATTAGAAAATGAGAATAGAAACTGAAATAAAAAAAGTAAGTCAACATTCACCTGTGACTTTAATATGAAAAGCTGCTTCATTTTTCCCTTCACTGTTTTTAGCGCTGCATTTGTATTGACCAGCATCGCCATAAGTCACTCGATTAGTCGTGAGCATGTTCCTGGTATCAAGTAACTTTCCATCTTTTGTCCAGTTCACCTCTGGTTTAGGAAAACCCCTCACGACGCATTGAATTTGAAGTGTTGAATGTAATTTGACAGACATCTCTCGCCGAGAATTTATTTCAGGAGAACCTTTTTAATTTTGAAAAGGAAGATAATGATTTATATAAAACTTGATCCCCATCCCTCCCCTCTACTTCTTTTTTAACCGTCGTTCACAATCTTAGTGCAACTGCCCTTCTCTCCTCAGCTCTCCCCTGCCGTAAAAATCAAAGCTTGCAAACATGATTTTGTTACCGAGATTCACCCCATCCTTAGTCCAGAGTATCTCAGGTGTAGGGAAACCGCTTAGACAACAAATGAACTGAAGCGACGAGTTATATATAACCGACTGATTCTTGAGCTCAGTATTAATTTCAGGAGGACCTGGGCATAGAATTCATAAGTGCAATTCAAAAAAGGTGAAAGTACGAAAAAAAAAGAAAAAAAAACGTCAGAAAATAAGAAGAGCAACTGAAGGAAACAAAATTAAGTCAACGTTTACCTGTGACTGTAATATGAAAAGCTGATTCACTTTTCCCTTCACTGTTTTCAGCGCTGCATTTATATTGACCAGCATCTTCATAACTCACTCGATTAATTGTGAGAGTGTTCTTGTTACCGCGATTAACCCCATCCTTAGTCCACAGTATCTTAGGTGTAGGGAAACCGCTTAGAGAGCAAATGAACTTAAGAGACGAGTTATAGGCAACCGACTGATTCTTGAGCTCAGTATTAATTTCAGGAGGACCTGGGCATAGAATTCAAAAGTACAATTCAAAAAAGGTGAAAGCATAAAAAAAATTAGAAAATGAGAATAGAAACTGAAATAAAAAAAGTAAGTCAACATTTACCTGTGACTGTAATATGAAAAGCTGCTTCATTTTTCCCTTCACTGTCTTTAGCGCTGCATTTGTATTGACCAGCATCGCCATAAGTCACTCGATTAGTCGTGAGCATGTTCCTGGTATCAAGTAATTTTCCATCTTTTGTCCAGTTCACCTCTGGTTTAGGAAAACCCTTCACGAAGCACTGAATTTGAAGTGTTGAATGTAATTTGACAGACTTCTCTCGCCGAGAATTTATTTCAGGAGGACCTTTTTAATTTTGAAAAGGAAAATAATAATTTATATAAAACTTGATCCCCATCCCCTCCCCTTCTACTTCTTTTTAACCGTCGTTCACAATCTAAGTGCAACTTTCTTTCTCTCCCCAACTCTCCCCTGCCCTTAAAATCAAAGTTTGCAACCATAATTTTCACCAAGGAAAAATACTCAGCTCCCGCTCGCGAAAATCACGCCTGTTCTACATGAAACTGTAATGATCTTTCTTTTCTACGAAAGAAAAATTGCCTTTGTCTTTTTGTGACAAAATGTAAATCTAGCATCTAATCGGTAGTAATGAAACTCCTGCAGAAAAAATAAAATCTTTTTAATTCAGTGCGAGCCATTTTTTTCTTTTTATAAAGAAAAAGGGGTAAGTTTCAAAATATCTCGGGTCTTATCAACTAAATTAAAAATGTAAAATGGCCACCGTAAAGATTTTCTAAGCTAACGTTTCGACCGTTAGCGCTTCGTCAGAGCTAAACCTCGAAAAGTCAGCTTTGATAATTTTTACAGTGGCCAATGTAAACTACCAACTCTGTTGATAAAACCAAAATATATTAAACAAAGAGTTTGACGTTTAATAAAAGGACGGTTGAAGGATATCTGTGCAGTATTTTCTACCAACAAATGAATATTTTACTTTCTCCTCATATATAAAACCACCTACATTTACAAGGTCGTGATTCCCGAGTTCTTGAGCAGTTAAATTCTGGAGTTAAGGATATCAAGATAATCTTTTAAAAGTAATAAACGGTTGGAGATTAAGTTATCTTATTTCTAGTAAAGAAAACATCCATTGGCAGTAACTGCTGAAGGTTCCTTTCTAATTATAAATGCAATATATACACAAGAATTAACTCAATTGAATAAAAACTTATAAATGCTGTATAGTTTTGAAGTTGTAAAACAATGGCGAAAACCCGCCATTACACTTTCGAGTCACAAATTCTTAAACACTCCCTCTTGTCACTTACCGACTCTTTGCCGGTACTGACCGCACTCTTTACAGCCGCCACTCCAAGATGACCACGCCATACAACCTTTGAAAACAACAAATTGTGCGCAAAGAGTCATATGTCATGTTATCACCCTACCTATGCTCTTTACTCATAAAGGATACCTAAATACGTAATTGTTATCGTCGATATCCCCAGTTTCTAATTTCCGGGGAGACTTCGAAGTAACATCTCCAAGTTAAAAAAGATTGATGGCTTAAAGCTTATAAATCACCCAACTTACAGTTCCCTATTTATACGCATCATTGGTGTTCTCTAAACACCTGTCAGGGATTTATCATGTTATAAGCCAAGGAGAGTGACATTGTTTTTTATTGCTCAAATGGATGACTGTGCAAAAATGTTAAAAGAAACAAACTAAGATTTTAACGTTTTCAATTTTTAATTTTCAACTTTACTGTAAAAGTTCCATCAGTATATGGCAGAGGCCTGAAACGTTGAAATTCAATTGCTGCAACAATTAAAAGTTTTATTTCTATGTAACATCTTTGTCCACACATCCACTGATCCACAGAGAAGAGTATCCTGTCTGAATCCCTCATTCATTCATTTTTTCATCCATCTTTATCGACCTTTTATCCTGCTTACTGATAAATGATAGTTCAAGCATGGCTACTTACAATCTGTTATATCAGTTAGGATGAGGATGTTAGGTGAACATGAAAAAAAATATTCACATTTGATGAGTAAATTAGTGGCTTAATATGGCTTTGGATTACTTGACTAACACATCATAAGCTTAACAAACAAACTGAACTCGTGGCACTCACCCGCTTTTGAATCCGAAAAGAACGCCGTGAAAGAGAAAAACAAATTTGAAAAAGATGTTAATCCATTTATCTATTCATTTATTTATTTGAACCAACCAGTTTGTTTAGTACGTCAATATTTTACATTGAATTCGATAACTATGCAACAGAATTTGTTAAATCAAACAAACAATCAGCCAATTATGACTGATAACTGATGATAATTATACAAATATCGTTTATTACAGAACTTAGGTACTGATTTTATACTTATACCGTCCACATCAGTAAAATCGTTTGGATAGTAATATTATAACATTAACAGCTATCACTAACTGTCATTGATACACAGGCAGATAATTCTTTGCTATTTACGATTGCAGTTTCCTGATCAGTAATCAGCCGGTGCAGAGAGTCAATAGTGTATATTGAGCCACAGGAGAGTTCTTTATTTATAGGAACGGATGATATTGATAATTACCTTCCCTTTTGGCTAGACAGAAAAGACGAGATAAGAAAGGAGGAGCAGTTAA